TCCAGGGGCACCGAGAGGGAATGCGTCCTCTAACATTTAGTGTGACCAAGATAATCGCTCATTCTGGGCACAGTGATAGACGCCACTGTGGAGAGTACGAAATGCTACGCCACGTCACCGTTGAAGGTGTAGAGCCCGAGAAAAAGTACATGAAGAAAAGGCGAGAGTGACCAGTCGAACGTCAACGCGGCGGCCGCAAGTCATATCGATCAATACCCACTCCCTTCTTTGTCCAATTGAAGGGCCAGGTAGAACTCACTGGGTAGAACTCTCCTTTCTAGATCTGGAATATATTCCAGATCGTCGTCATTCTGGTGCATCGAACCTTCGGCGTTCTTTTAATGTATTCTTTTTCTATGCTTCCGTTCTTTTTATAAATATCGCGTTCTTTAAAGGCGACCCTTGTGCGACGAAAGATTCGCGAGGTTGCATTTTCCCAATGGTCGTGGTCCAGATCAAGCTCGGCGAGCAAGACGGCTTCCTCTACGAAGCGACGTGCGCGACGCCCAACGATAGCCTCGTGCGCGACCTCGTCCACGTGCACAACGCGCGCATCCGCCTCGCAAACCTCAACGCGTACGTGCCCGGCCTCTTCGCGCACGGCGTGGCCAAGCACCCGCAGAACCAAGGCATCGACTCGTTTGCGACCGAGCCCGTGCGTAAGGAAGAGTTCTACGAAGAGGACCCGCTCGGCCAGCGCACGGGCAACGGCGTGTGCCCGAGCCTGCGCGAGACGCTCGGGCGCATGGTCGAGGACGTCAAGGCGTACCTCAAGAGCAATTTGCGCGAGCCAGTGTTGCTACCGGCGCTCCAGGAGAAGCTCGACAACTTCCGCGGGATCGTCATGATGGGCTTTCCGATGGGCCTCCCCGAGTACGACATTGTGCAGATGCTTTTGGACGGCAACGACGAGGCCGCGCTCGCCGGTCTCCAGGCGAGCCAGGACCTCAATGGACCCGGCGACGGCCGAGCTCTGGTGGGCGGGCAAGCAGTTCTTCCGCGACGATACGGTCGGCGACCGCGTCGGGAAGAACGAGAAGACCAAGGTCATTGCGCGCCTCGCCCGGCAAAAGCGGCGGCGCGCCGCAGCGCGAGCCGGCCGTCTCCGAGGATGAGCGCAAAGCCATGATGGCGCACTACTTCAAGAAGCAAGAGGAGCTCAAGAAGCTCGCGGACGAAGATGAGGACGACTATCTGCACTCGTCGTGGGCGAACCCGTCGGCGCTCAAGAACCAGCTCCGTGGCACCAACAACCTCCGTCCTTTTTAACGGTCATGTAATTCAAGGGCTTTGTATCGACGATGTCATTACGAGTTGGTATCGCGCACCAGTGGCGCCAAGGACACGGTGCGCGTGGGCGGACCCGAAGGCTTATCGTCGTCGTTGTCGTCTTGCTTCCTCCTCGGAAGCTGCTGAAGTGAAATCGTTCGCGTCGGCGCCAGCTGCATGGTTCCGGTGCGACTCACGGGATGAACGCTCGAGGGTCCGCTTGGCGATCGCACCGCCAGCGACTCGCGCACGGGCTCGGCCGCCAGCAGCTCTGTGACTTTGGCGACTAGCGCGGCCTCGGTGTTTTGGCTCATAAGTTTGGGCTCCACGATACGCGCGTCATCGGACAAGGTCGGAGCGGCAGCGAGCAGGATGGCTGCGACCGTGTCGGTCGTCACGCGCGACACGACAACCGCGAGCGCCTCTTGGTCGAGTGCCCCTGCCGACGTGCCGTGGGTTGCGGTAGTGTTGAGAGTGGGCACCTGCACCGCCGCAGTCGTCGGCTCGGTTGCGACGGCGTCGGGGTTCTCGGCGCTCGACCCGTCACCATCGTCGTCGTCGTCCTCTTCCATGCGGCCGTGGACGGGCACGGTCGTCGACGTCGACGCCTGGTGCGCGATGGCGTCGACGCGGTCTTGAATGTCGTCGTCGATCGCGCTCTGGATGCGCATGAGGCGGTGGCTGCTCGTGTCCAGAAGCGCTCTCTCATCGAGCACGAGTGTGCTCTCCATTGACGCCGCCACCAAGGGTACACCAATGCTCTTGGAGAATGTCGTGCGTGTTTTCCGTGGACTCGACGACGGACTGACGTCGGTTGGATCTAAGGACACGAGCGGCGTCCCGCTCGCACCTGCGGGCTTGGAGAATGTCGGGCGCGACCGCCGCACGTTGGAGCCAAGCCGCGCATCGGGCGACGCATCGTCGGTCGGTGCTTCGACCAGCGGCACGCCCGCCGGCTTGGAAAACGTCGCGCGCGTCCGGCGGGTGCTACCTATCGGAGCTGCATTCGCTGGTTCCGGCGGGCTCATCGCCTCGAGGCTGAGCAGCGGCATGCCGGGTGTCCCCAGCTGCTTGGAGAACGTAATGCGCGTCTTGCGCCCGACAAGGGGCGTTGTCGGCGGTGCATCCACGCTCGCATCGGTTGTGTCGTTTAGCAGCGCGATGTCGCCCATGACGCTGCCGTCGCTGCTCTGCATGGACGCCTCGCGGAGGTTGTCGGCGATCTTGACCAGATTCAAGCGCTTGTCCTTGGTAAGGATGTCGCGCACGCACTTGTTGCTCGTCGAGACGATGCGGTCAATGTCGGCGCTGCGCAAACCAGCAGCGTTGAGAGCGTGCGACCGACTCGAGCGAGAACGTACCCGGCGTGGATGAAGACCTCGAGCATGCGTCCATCGCGCCGCTTGGCCGCCAAGTACAAGGGCGTCTCGTCGGCTGCGTTGGGAACGTCAATGACGATACCTGGCAGCGCCAGCAGCGCCTTGCAGCTCTCGATGCAGCCCTTGTCGGCGGCCATGTGCAGCGCTGTCATACCGAGCGCGTTCACATTTTCAGCAGGCGACGGTGTCGCTTTCACCAGCGCAACGCCGGCCGCGTCGTGGCCGTGCTTGAGCGCTGTGAGGAGCACCGAGTTGCCGTCTACAGCCCCCTATCTAGTACCAGAAGCATCGATGCAAGGCAGACGCACCGGCGTCAACGCGGTCCTTGGCGGCGCCGGCGCCAAGCAGCATCACGAGCACGTGCGTGTGGCCGTACATGGCCGCTGCGAAGAGCGGCGGCGGAGTCTTTTCCGGCGCTGGCGACACGTTGAGAAGCGTGTGCATTGAAAAGTCACTCGCTGCAAGCGCCGCTTGCAAGAGAAGTCCGACGCACTCGAGATGGCCGTTGGCGCACGCAGCGAGGAACGGCGAGAGCGACTGGTTCAAGTCGGCGTGCGAGTTGTACACGACGCCGACAGCGTTGACCAAGTGGAGCTGCGGCGGCGACGGCGGCTGCAGAAGGAGGGCGACGATGGTCGCAAGGCCCTCCAAGCATGCGAGGAGGAGCGCCGAAACGTTCTTCTCGTTGACGAGGAGCGAGTCGGCGCCCTGCGAGAGCAAGTAGGCGGCGACGTCCGTCTGCGCATATTGGCACGCGTACACGAGCGGCGTGCTCTCCCACATGCCACGCACGTTGAGCAGCTCGGGCTTGGCGGCCAAGATGTCGGTCACCTCGTCCAGTGCGCCCTTTTTCACTGCATTCGCCATGAGCCTCTCCATCATCATATATCCACGCGATGAAAGGAAGTACCGTGGCGCATGAGGACGGCGGCGGGCGACTCGTCGCTCTTCGTCGCTGCTGGCGTCGGCTCCTACAAGGCGCGTGGGCCATCGTCGCCAAGGCGGCGGGCGTACCGGCGCCGACCCGATGATTGCATTCGGTAGGCCGATTGCCGGCGCTGGCGCCGCCTACGTTACCATGGCACATGGTCTCCGGTCCATGCTCACTACCTGCGCTGCCATTGTCGTCGTCGTCGCCTTGACGGGGCTGCTCGGCGGCTCGGTGAACTGCGTTACGTTCGTCGACGTCGATGCACACGCGCCCATGTCCCTTTCCACATGTACGTTACGGCCAAATGCGGCCAGCCGTTTCAAGCGTCTACGCACACGCAACTTTTCGCGGCCATCGCAATCGTCGTTTTCCTGTTGCGTGATCACGCCGTCGGCGCCATGCGGTCTTCGAATATGCTCAAGTGGGTGCTCCCGTCGGGTCAACCAAGCGGGCGCGGCCGCCAAAATTTGGGTGTTTTTGGTCCCGCATGCAGCTTCAAGCACATGGAGGAGGATCGGGCCGGCTCCGCCACCGACGGTACGCTCTGATCCCGGCTCGGACGGCGCACTTCAACCTCAACGACCACCCACGCGGCGCCATGTGGCGACGCTTCGAGTACCGCTCGCCGTGGGGCACGACGCCCACCTCTCGCACTCGATAGACACAAGCTCTTGCGGCGTCGCTTTTTTAAATATTTAAATAGGCGCGCGCACCCGTTCCAATGCGGGCGCGCGCAGCGAGAGGACGTCTTCTATGCGTCGTTGAGGGCCCAGTTGTAGAGCGTGTAGTTTTCGGTCGGGATGTCGCGGCAGGCGCGGACAAAGAGCATTTCCTCGACGCTCGGGCGCGCGACCGGCGAAATCGACCGGTCAATGTCCTCGGCGGTGCCCACGCACACGTCGTCCGAGAACGACACCTTGCGCACGCGCTCGAGGACTTCGTCGTCGTCGCTCTCGGCCTGCTGGTTGGACTCGTAGCGCTGGTTGTTGACCTTGGACAAGATGCCACGGCGGCTTTCTTTCGCAATGAGGCGCGTCGTCGCTTCGACCTTGGCGAGGATGCGGAACGCGCAGCCGTACTGCTGGAGGTCCATGCAGCGCTTGGCGAGCACATAAGATTTCTGGACAAAGGCCATCGCATCCGCGAGCTCTTCCGGCGACTTGAGCTCTTGCTTGCCGTCGTCTTGCGGCGTCACCTTGCGGCGCTTCTCGGGCGACGTGAGCGGCGCGTCCACGCGCTGATGGCCCGCGACGACCTGGAGCTTGGGGGACATGGAGAAATGTTGGAGCAAAATTGCAAATACCCAGCGCTTTCTCGAAGTGGCCGATCCGGATACGTCAACGGTATCCGGCATTCAAGCCGTGATGGCGTAATACAATGCGGTGTTTATTTTATGTTTGCACCGCATTTAAAAAAAACGAGCCCACGTTGTCGGTGGTACCGCGGCAATAAAATGGACGGCCGTTTTCTTTTATTGTATTATTAGCGTCCTCATGATAATATTGTGACTGGGCGTTGCTGGACCTGGGTGACGTGCTAAAAAACACTCGCCGTCGGCATTTCTATAACAGCGCGGTACGTAGGGAATAGACGCCAATTTATTTTATTGCGGAGAAATCCGCCCCATGCGCATTTTAATATGATTTTCATAATGTGTTATATTATTTATATTACTTTATGTCGAATCTCTTGGCGGCCCATCTTGGTTGACTGCAAGCAGATGGCCGAGGTCGTCGACGTCAGCGGACCATGCAATTATGGAAGCTTCGGCGCCGCCGGACGCGCCAAGGAGTACAGGATGAGCGATGCTGCTGAATATTATTATTATGTTGCTACTTGAGGCGAATTCCAGCATCGGGCTGCGCATTTTTGACAGTACTCGTGCACCGAAGTCGTCGGTCTCGATTGATACCAAGTACATACTACAGTAACTACAGTGGTTATAAGCAGCGAGCCTGCACTGACGTCAGCCATTTCGAGGTCGTCGCCGCCACCCACGGGTTCGGATCCGCAAAAAAAACGGACGGCCATGACGTGGCGGCCACAGCGCGAGCCAATGGGTGGCGACAGACTTTTCAAGATCGTGCAAGATTCATTCACAGTACGACCGCCCGCTGCACGAGGCGGTCGGCGCGGTGTCGATACGGTGGACGATGATCCTCGGCGTAGAGAGGCAGGTAGCTACCATCGAGGAAGCTTTGGCACACGATGTTACCATCTCCGGCGACGGTCGGGTTGATAGGGTATCCAAACGAGTGGCTCTGCGTCGGGTTCTAGAAGGTCGCATTGGCTTCGAGTACATCGACGCATCTCTGCACCAATGCAAGATCTCCAACCTGGGTGGAACTAGATTAGTCGCTCATAAAGCAAATCTGAGAATCAACAATTGCCGTCGAGAAGACGGTCTTCTCCATTTCAACTACTACGTGGTAGAGTTATGAGGTGATTTACAGCTTGTTGTAAAACTCGGCCGAGTGCTCGGGCCCTTCGGCCTCCGGGCGCGCGTCCGGGTTCCCATGGGTTTGGGCCACGTCGACAGGCGCCTTGGGCGGCGCCTACGCAAGCAGCGATGAGACGGTGGCACTTGCGTCGTCGACGTACGTGGTGGAAGGGCACGCTCGGCACGGGCTCGATCTGGCGCAGTTGCTCAAACAAACGTTCCTACATCATGCCGATGGCCAACGCGGTCTCCGAATGCGATGTCTACCTTCATGTCGTGGAGGTAGCTGGGCGTGTTGAGGTTTTCCATGTTGCTCACGGGCATGTGCACGCGGTACTCGGGCCCAAAGTACTCAAAGTAGTCGTTGTACGGCATCGCATCCTAGATCGCACTGTCAGATTTCCGATGCAACTTCTCAAATTACTGGGATCTCGACGCCGAGGGCCACCGACGTCTCGTAGCACCAGCAGCGCGGAACGTTCCGGAGCGTGTAGCCACCGCCGCCCAGCACGAGCATGGGGATGTTGAACGACTTGACAAACGCGACCGCATCACCATGGCCCTTCACGCTGAGGTTGAAGCAGCCGAGGCGGTCGCCCGAGAGCGAGTCGGCGCCGCATTGGAGCACGACAGCGCCAGGCGCAAAGTGCTCCATGACCTTGGAGATGACCTACGCATATCGTCCAGCGAGGCGATGGTGTTGGCTTTCGTACCGCACGGAAGATGGACGTGAAGCTCTCGTCGTCCATGCCGTCGCGGCACGGGAAGTTGACCGAGTAGTTCTTGCCCTCGCCGTACCCAACGTCCTTCGATGACAGTCGTTGCATGGGCGCATGAGACGCGTTGGATGTCTACCTTGATGTCGCCGGTACCCGGAAAGTACTCGCCGTACTTGTGGAACGAGACGGTCATGACGCGGTTGGTCGTGTAGAAGGCCTCTTCGACGCCATCGCCGTGGTGGATGTCGATATCAATGTACAGCACCCGCGCATGTTCCCTAGTACGCATCATACCATGAGACCGACGCCGAGGTGGGATGAAGACTACTTGAGCAGTTCGAGGATGCCAAGGACACAGTCGTTCACGTAGCAAAAGCCAGAGGCCTCCGACCGCTTGGCGTGGTGCAAGCCGCCGCCCCAGTTGATGACAATGTCGGCGCTCTTGTCGTTGAGGCGCGCGGCGCCGCCGATCGAGCCGCTGGCCGAGAGCTGGCAAAACTCAAAGAGGCCGTCAAAGACCGGGCAGTCTTCGCCGACGTTGAAGCGCTGGAGCTGGCGCAGGTAGTTGTGCATGTTGTCGGGCGTGACCGTGCGTAAAAAGTGAATGTAGTCGTCCGAATGGAAGCGCGTGAGGTCTTCCCAGCCCACGAGTTGTGGCCGCTACGCAGGACGACGCCCATGACTTGGCGCGACCAAATGCAAGCACGTACGAAGATGCGCATGTGCTTGGTCAAGCCGTAGTTGGTCACAAGGTTGTGCGTCATGCGCACGCGGTGCGGCTAAGAGCCATTGCGCGTCAGCTGCCATCGCCTTCGAGAGCGGTGTACCTTCATTGGGTGGTTGGGGCCGTAGTGGTAGTTGCCAATCTCGGCTACGCAGCGAGCCATGAGCTTATAGCCGCGATACCAAGAGGCGGCTACAGTCGTAGAAGTAAGACACGCGCTTCTTCACGGTGCCATGCACGTCGGCCAGGGACACCGGCATCGTCGCGGCCTCTGCTTTGCTCGAACCTCTAATGTATGGGATTTCGGAGGCACGGACACTATTTCTGTGCGTCCAAGATATGCTCTTCACCTTCATTGCCATTTCGCCTTACAAGCGAGCCGCTCGTCCGTACCATCCGCGATGCTGCAGCGTCGTGCTATGACCGTATTGAAGGTTCTAGGACCCATTCGGCTGCGATGTTCGAATAGCCTCAAGGCCGTGCAACCTTGCGATCTTTCAAGCTGGAGACCCGTGTCTCGGTCTCACGTTTCCTGCATACAGAAGACGTCTAAACTCTAAAGAGTAATGCTCTGAACCCTATCTTAGACGCAATTGTGCACTGGAATCGTGGAGGTTATCTCACGTTACTTGCCTTCAAGGCATCGAAATAGCGCCATGCGTGTCAACGCGATGTACACTATTTCCGTGGATCCATGGGTTCAACTATCAATTGCCAGAGATCTTATCAGAAACAAGAGGTTTTATGCAAACTTCGAAACTATTGCATGTCCAAGGATATACATAAAAGAAGGTAGTCGACCACGCGGCCATGGAGGTCGAGACCGCAACCGCCAAGCCCGCGTCGAGCCGGCTCTCGTACGCCGATATCTTCCAGCTCTTCCACGCCGACGATGCAGGAAGCGCAGAAAAGCTGCTAGCAGAGTACGAGGCCGTGCGCCTGGACGCCAAGGAGAATGGCGGCTCCGTATTTGGTGACGACGAGGTGAGAGTGGGCCATAACTTGCACGTGGTCTCACGCGTGCCATGCATTCTAGTCGAGCGACGATGATGGGCCTCGTACGCCGTCGTCGCGTAGCCTGTCCAGCTCGAGCAGCCAAGCCCGGCGAGCGAACGATGCATCCAACAAGCGGCCACACGTATATCGCCCGTTCGACGCACGATCGCACATCTTATGGCCTGTATCTAGGCGCAAATCTCGGACGATGGCCCTCGAGCGTACGGCCGCGGACGCATGGCGGCGCAGTCGGGCCGGCAGCCCAAGGTGAAGAAGTCCAAGCTCATGCAGAAGCTCACCGGGCGAAAGAATGGCCGACCGATTGTATAACACGAGCTGGACGTCCTAGTGCTTGTCTACCTCGTCTGCGCAGCTAGGCTCAGCATCGCACGATGGGCATATTGTGGCGACCGTAGAGATCGGCTCACGTAGCTTGCGACCACCACACCATTCCCAGCGGCAGTGGCATGCAGCATGCTCATCACTGCAGTTGACGATACCTACAGCCACGCTCTAGAAGCTCTCAATCTACTAGTGCTTCTACGCCTCATCCGACACCAGAGGACTCATCCAGGGCATGGCAGCAGCAACTGCTTTGGTCGTGGCCGCGGTGTTGGTCGCTCGTCGCGCCTACACGCATGTGATTGGTCAAAACTTCCAATCCGCCAGGCGTTGATTGGCTAAAATAGAATTATACGTGAGGCCACATTCTCAAAGACATTGGACGGTCGAGATGGACGTGCTCGACGACTGCGAGGTCGCGCTCAAGGCCGGTGGCAGCGGGCAAGAGACCGCCGTCAACGACATCCTTGACCTGCTCAGCGCTCCGGCCGAAGGAGCGCCGGACGCCGTGAAGAGCCGCGCGGCGCAGATCCTCGCTGCAAACTTCAACGAGGTCGCCGACATGGCCGATCGCATCGTCGAGACGCTCGTGGGCGTGGGCGCGGCAGGTGCCAAGCACGCGACGTCCGTGCGCATCCATACAATCGTGAGCTTGTCCAACATCGTCAAACATGCGGCCGAGCCCTTGGCGCCGTCGGTCCTCGAGCGGATCCGCGAGTTTGCGAGCGCGACGCTTTCGACGGAAACCAGCGGCGTCATCATGCGCCACCTCACAGGCTTGACCAAACTTGTCGGGAGTCCAAGCACAACCAAGGCCAAAGCCGCTTCTACCTCGCCCAAGCAGGTGGTCCAGGTCGCTTCCTTGCCCAAGCAGGTGGTCCAGGTCGCTTCTTCGCCCAAGCAGGTGGTCCAGGTCGCTTCCTCACCCAAGCAGGAGACCCAAGTCGCTTCTTCGCCCGAGCAGGAGGTCCAGGTCGCTTCCTCGCCCGAGCAGGAGGTCCAGGTCGCTTCCTCGCCCAAACAGGAGGTCCAGGTCGCACAGGCTTCCTCCCCGTCCCCGCCCCGTCCCGCGGACGCGTCGCTCCGTGAAGCGAGTAGCTGCCGCGACACGGTAGACAGCACGGCGCAGCGCGACGTTATGGACGCACGGCGCGAGAAGTTTCGCCTCGAAGAGAAGCGTCGCCAGGAAAGCCGCAAAGGTCGTCGTCCTGTCTCCTTCTCCATCCCGTCGTCACGCGCCTTGCGTAGAGCTGGCCGTGCCGCCGACGCCGTACCTGTACATTCGCCACTTTCCACATGACGCGACGTCGTCGATGTTTGCCGCGTACTTCAACTGCGTGGACCCGAACATGACGGCGCGCGACGTGGTGCTGCACACGTCCAACGGCGCCCGCCACGCGTTTGTCAAGTTTGACTCGATCGAGCTCGCGACGAAAGCGATCGAGCTCACGGCCGAGAAGGTCTTTGACGAGAGCTTCTGGCTGCCGGTGGCCTATGCGCGCGGCCCGATTGTGTCGACCGTGGACTTGCACATCCACGGCAGCACCTTCCCGACCGATTGGACCAAGCACAGCTCGCTGTGGGCGCATACGGTTGCGTACTTTACACGCAGGCACGGCAGTAGCAAGAGCAGTACGTGGGCCGTCCGGTCGCCCGGCGTCCTCTGGTTTGCATCGAAATCGATCACGCAGTACCTGGTCCTCAAGGGCGTCGAGATTGACGGCACGCAGCTCGTGGCAGTCTACAACGTAGCCGACCAGCGCCGCGGCGACGCACGCGCAGGTATACCGACACGTCCATCGACGCAGGTGGTTGACCTGTTGTATCTGTCTAGGCGACCGTAAATCGGACAACGGCGCGAACGACGAGCGCCACTTGGACGAGCGCAAGGGTGGCGACCGCCGCAGCGATGAGCGCAAGGTCGACCCGCCACCTCGTCGGTACGGCGAGCCCGAAATGTCGCGGTATGGCCCCGTCGGCGGCAAGGACGACCGCCCCTCCGGCGCAAACCGAGACCGCAGCCCTGTGCGCAAGCCAACGGTGGGCGAGCTCGCAAAGGAGCGGTCGCGGTCGCGTGACCGACGAGTGTCGCCAGAGCGCATGCGCCGGGCAAGT